CCGTATATGCACGCGCACACACACGCACACACACGCACACACGCACTTATCTTTTACCTGTGCTGTGGCTTGTACTGCTTGAGCTGCTGCCATGGTAATAGCACCGGCTCCAGATCCTGAAGATAATGAGCCCAGGTTATATGATGTCAATGGCTGAGAAGAGTTTGTATTGTATGCATTGTTGGAAGAGGATGATGAATTACTGTTTCGACACCCTTGATGAACAGAATACATTTATGAAATTCAAAGTGAAACTAAAAATACCTTTAAATCTTAGTAAGCTGAACACCACATATACATATACCAGTTAGTGGAATTTACAAGTGCAGGGTAGGATGGGCTGTGCTGAGCTGCTATACTGCCATGATCAATAGACGGTTTGATCTATCATTTGTATTTGCCCCTCAGTTGTTTTGGTGTGGAAGTGACTGCTTCATGTCAATCCTTACTGACTGGTCCAATTAATTAAAAAAATAATTTCTGATGTTTAGTCTAATTTTTTGGTTGAAATGATGATCAAAATAATGCATGTTCTGAAGAAGGAGAATGAAATATGATAATATGTTGATAACATTCCTAACATAATTACTAAAGAAAGCCAAATAGTGAATATTTTTTACAGTAATATAACGTTACAAAACAGTTAATTAACAACTGCTGCTGAAAACTGCAGTTCCATTTTACTTAATGTATTTTGCATAAACAGGGAGCACATTTTAAATAGGATAATATAATGGCTATGAATGTAAGAATATTTAAAATGGCAGAAGGGTATTAAATAACTCAGAAGTTCTCAGAGTCAGATAATGTACTACACTGCTCATTGTTAAGTAAACACAGTCCATATTTAAAAAAGCAAAAGAAAAACAATGTCCTCTTTCTCTTTTAACATTAGATCACCAAGACCAAATAGTTTTCCTACAGATGCAAGCTAGGCCTGCAAAGTGTAAATTACAAGACCATGATCAAATTAAGAGCTAAGAGGCAGAAGCAACAATGAAACTAAGCTGATGCTCGCAAAAGTTCAGCTGGAGTTTAATTTAATTACTATCCTGCTGGTTTCTGTCCCCCACAAAAACAGGAACCACGAGCGCATTCTTTTTGATAATGAATTCAGAGAAGTATACAGAGTTACTTCCACTCTTTTAAAATATCAGACAACTTAAAGGTTGTCCTCTCTCTGTTGTTAAATGATAGGTATCACACCGGCCTTCCTGAGAATTAACTATTCTTTTCCACCTTGGAGATAGGATAGATTATTTTTCTCTCAAAAGGAATATGAAGGCATTGGACCTGTTATGTTCTCATTGAGGCTTGAACAAAATTCCTGGAAGCAGAAAAAGTTGTGGTAGTCCTTGCATGTGTCATAAGACAGGACAACTAACCCACAGCTGTAAAAATGGAAACAGACCTAGTATGCCTCAGGGTCAATGGTGAGAGAGGACAATCCCTCCCAGTTATGCATGTTCAAAGAGAAAATTCTAGATTGAAAAATATTAACTTTGGAATTCAAAGACCCAACTGTATTTGAGAAGACAGGTCTCTCCTCCCAACCTCAAAAGCATGCTTTAATTGTATTACCCGGTGTATTTTCTTTAGAGGCATCTGAAGTAAGTGTAGACAGAAGGGCTTCAGATTTAAACTTCTTTTCAGGAACATGATCTGTAGTACTATGGTGAGAAGACGGATTATGTTTCCTTTCTGTTTGAAGAAAGCAAAATGCAATTTCCTATGAGATTTGAAAACAAACAATGCTCAAAACAGAAAGCTTAAGAATGCTGACTATAAATAATGAAAGAATAACTAGGTATTATAACCATATTCACTGACAATTGACACTGTCCCAAACAGTTAAACCCCATCTTCATTCTTGGGCCTCCCTTAACATACATCTTTGCCATTAAATTGTATCAAATTCTGTGTGGAATATTCTGAAATAAAGAATTACAAGGAGACCTCTGGACACACACAATTCTGACCAAAATGCTATACCAAAATGTTTATAAAGGTTTTAGTAATACATATAGAATAAATAAAAAAATCCTTTAAAACTTACTTTCTACTGGAGTATGTGAATGAGCATGATGGTTATTCACAGGTTGAGATGGTGTATCCAATTCCAGAGAACCTAAGAGAGTTAAAAAGGTAGTACAATTTAATGCCAATTTTGCACGTTAGTCAAATTTTATCTTGCAAACCATCTTGATTTGTAGATCTGACATATATCTTTATCTATAGAAAGTAAAGAAAAATTAAGAAAGAACCAGTTATGCTCATTTTAGCTAGAAAGATTTTTCCCTCAGATTTTCCTCCCCAATGAGAAGAAAAGCACTGCAAACCACTATAGATACTAATAATGCATGTCAAGGTGACTCAAAAATAAGTATCCAAACTGCATTCATGATGAAAGGTTTTTGGTGGATAGTAACAACTCCAAGCACCATGCATGCTCTCCTCCTCCTCTTAGTTTAAAGTTAATTTGAGATGGCCAGAAATTGATTTATAGCTCTCTAATGCCAAACAGCTTTTCCACTAACTAAAATGAGTTTTGGATTGGACTCTGATTTGTGCATAATTTAAAATACAGCAGCTTAGACAAGCCATTTTACTATGCAGCAACTGCAAGCTTGTTTTGACGTCATTTTATGCTAGACTGCAGATTTTTTTTAGCATTGTAAACGCCTCCTTAGAAACACAGTACACTTCACACACTGTCACCAAGGAAACAATCGATTAAACAAACAATCAAAATCCAGAAGTCCCTACTGAACTTGACTTGGACTGTGTCTTAACTGCATTTCCAAGGCAAGCTTTCTATTATCTGCTTTTGGCAGAGAATGAAGATGAGTCCAAAAGGGAACATTTCTAATACTCCAGAACTTAAATAAGTACAAACAAAAACCATTTTTTATGGTACTGGAACTCAGAGGCCAGATGATCAAGATAAGAAAAATGTGAAAAAGCAATTTTTTTCTAGAAACACAAAAAATAAAAGGATGGAAGTAATCTTTTCAATAGGATTTTGGATGAGCAGAAATGTGTTAGTTTATCCAATCTGAATGTTGTTAATATAACTTTTTTGAATTATAGGCCAAGCAACACCTGTACAGAAATTAGATTCGTTTGTTGACTTATAGTCAGATGCTCAAAAACTGTAGTAATTGCTATTACAGGTTTTACTGCATCTTTCCGGATCACCACTTTAAAAAAAAATCATCAATAGAAGTAACTAAATTACATCTTGAAAATTTTCTTTGTAAACCAGCATTATTCAGGTCATGAACTAGTTCAGAGCCTGCCCCCTGGTGGAAAGCATATCATGTGTCTTTATTCTTTGGTCATTTGAATGTTAGAGGCTCTGACTTTTTGTTTTTGGGTACTTAGGTAAAAAAAAAAAAAAAAAGAGAGATATTAAGATATACCTACTAGAGTATATATTTTATATATCTGTGGATTTCTCCAAGATGCTTCTATCTATTCTGATAGTTCCATGGCTGAATAAATGTGGAAGTAAATTTACTTAAATTAAGAATGTACTCCGTTCTACCTCCACCTCGTTTCCTGTTTGTGAACAATATTTCAACATAGTAAGTACATAAGCATTTTGTTTCTGAATATTTAATATCTGTATAGTTTTATCATGAGTTCTCTCTCTAGTCCCTTCTCACTTAAGTTACAATTTTCCTAATGTTAGGATTAAACACAAATGTACTTATTTTAAGATTTAATGCAGTTACATTTGACCTTGTATCTTTAAATACAAAGAACTCATGTACGATAACTGCTTCCCAAAACACAGACAACATGTCTACTGTGATATTATTACCTGTATTATAAATGATGGCATTACAGTGTTTATTAGGCATTTGATTACCAACAATTGTAGCAAAATGTCTCAAGTTTAGCCAAGGAAAAAAAAGTAAGGTAACTTACCAAGAACAGACTGGATCTTAAGTTTGAGGAGGAACAGAAAACAGTTTTTCTGTACCCAAAGGTACTGAAATCTATGTTTTGTGAAATGTGTTTTGGGTTATAAACTTACTAAGAAGAACCCAAAATTTAGCTAAGTGTATGAAATATTTTATCCATTTGTTATTAAATAAAAAATCCAATCCCTGAAAACAAAAAAGGCATTGAGCCAGTTTTTATTTATATTTGCTCTCAGGCCAGCAGCACTACTTTGATTTCAGAACACAAGTTACATAGCAGATATAATAAAGAGAAAGATTTTTGAGGGGAGGGTAATATTTTTTGGACCAACTTGTATAGTTGGGAGAGAAGACACAAGCTATTAAGCTTCAAGCACCTTTCCTTTGGTCTGGAATAGCGGCAATCACTGTCCAAGTTATATACAGGTTAAGTTAACTAAAAAAAATTTTATCAATTATATTAATGAATCTGGCAACCTGAAAGGGGAAGCAGACAGTTGCAAGTACACCAAAGAAAAGTTTGCAGAATGAGACATGAGAGTTACATTATAATGAACCATAAAACCAATATCAAGATACTGCAGTAACATTTATCTACTGACACCTCCAGGCAATTCAGATTACTGTAGTATTTGTAATGTGCAAACATTACAAGGCAGGGTAGAGATGCACCTGTGGCTCTCTATCTTTTCAGAGTCCAGGCATGCTTCCACAACTTCTCTGGATGTGGTGGCACTACCCAGTTTCAAACCACTGTTGTGTTTAGGTCTCAACTGGATGGTGCTACTTGCAGGTGCCCTGCATGCCTACTGTACAGCAAGATCAGAAAGGACTGTAGCACACGTGCACACTCCTCCCACATTAGGGCTCTCCAATAACCCTAAAGCAGGCAGAAGAGCCTGCTTGTGCTGCAGCCCTTTCTGGTCCAACCCTGCATGAGTGCCAGAAACATGAGGCACACAGGACAGGTGCCAGCTCTCCTGCCTGCTTCAAAGTTATCAAAGGACTCTAATGAGGCAGGAGAGCATGTATACCAGGGGTGGGCAATTATTTTGGGTAGAGGGCCACTTACTGAGTTTTGGCAAGTCATTGAGGGCCGCATAACAGGCAGACAAGGACAGCTTAATATTAATTTTCTAAATTTTTTAGGGGCCCCGCAGGCTGGATAGAATGGCCTGGCAGGCTGCATCTGGCCCCCGGGCCACATTTTGCCCACCCCTGATGTATATGTACCGTAGCCCTACACGTGGGCAATTTTACCTGGCTGCAATAGTGGCACTTGCATCACAGCACCCCAGTTGAGAACAATTAACTGAATCACAAATACATAAACTTACATGAGTAAGCATTCATTGTAAGCATTGATCAGATGCTATAAAATACACCAACTATATAGTCACAGCAACTTTTTACAATTAATCTAAGCAAGTATTTTTCTTTTAACACCCAAACCCACAAACAGCACTTAACTTCACCTGACATGTAATACCTGTAAAAAGGAGTAATCGGAACCAAAACAAATTTTACAAACCTTGATTGGACCCAATCATCTAACAGAACATGTTTTGGTTACCACTTAAATAAGTAGTAGTTTAGGGAGCAGAGCACAACTTTTTCACTAAGTTCAAGAGAATTTTCTGCTGTAGGAAACAAAGCATCTTTAGTTTATGATCTAAAGAGTTCTTGGAGAGAATAAGAAACCTGAAGAACTGAAATTAGCTTGCAAGATTTTCATTTGCCAAACTGACAAAGCAACGTTTTATAATGTGTACTTACGCCTTTCTAATATTTCTGTAATTCCAGCATTATCTGCCTCAAGTTCCATTTTAAATTTAGCTAGTTCTTGGTCCAGCTTTCTCAAGTGACGATCTACCTGTTTCAAAGAAGATCAAAGATCACTTCCAAAATCCCATACTATTTAATGGTATTACAATTCTACATCCTTTCAGAGGATTTATGAATTCTGTATATTTTAATGAAATGTGTTAGAACACAGAGTCTGCAGACATCCAGGGACGGTGACATTTAAGAATACCTTAGAAAGCACTTAGGCTTAAAAATCTCTCATCCATCTGCATCACACAGCAGAATAGTATGTGCCACTGCACCAGGGAATTAAACATTCTTTTGCAACTACCAGCTAACCAAAAGTTTAAGAATGCATTAACTCAGGGATATCAAACGTATGGCCTGCAAAGCCATTCTGTCTGGCCTGCAGGGCTTTTGAAGAAGCTGGGAATTCAGGGATGGGACAAGCAGAAATGGCACCTGCTGCTGAAATCTGAAGTATGGAGACCCACTGGGGATGTGTGTTGGCTGCAGGGGGAGAGCAATGTCTGTGCTATCTCCCACAACCACTGCTTGACCCACTGCTGCATCCAGCTTCAGCTCATGGTCTGAAACTGGTTGGTGGCTGGAAGGCTGTGGGGCAGGGGGGAAAAAGGTGGGAAGTTTGACACCCCTGCATTAACTATACACTGAGAAGAAATGTAGCTGATAAATCATTCATGTATTTTAAAACATACTGTACAAGTTTGTAGTTTAGTTCGCATAGTTTTTTTGCCCCCAAGGGATATAAAATTAGGATACTGAAAATAGTAAGTATACACAACATATTAAAAAGACCCTGGCCCATTTTATCCCCATCTTCTGATAATGAATTAAGAGATTTAAAATATTTTGACACTTAAGAGCATCAGTGTACTAATAAAACAATAGCTCAAGTCAAACCTTCAATTAGCAAAGTTATTAAATTCATTCTGGCTGAAAAAGAAAAAAAAAAAACAGTTGGACAAAAATCCATCATTCATGGTTCTATAGTTCTTGTACAAGAGGTAACAAAACAAAAGTAAGAGATAAAGTGGAAACATGACTTTTTTGTTAAAGCAAAAAACCCCCCAACTAGTTTAAAATGTACCTTTCACATTGAGGCATAATTTTAGTACTTCTGTCGTTATATGCACATAAGTAGGTATTCACCAAATAAAAGTAACTTTAGATTAATCTTAAAACATGCATTTAATTCCTTACTTACCAAGTCATATATCTGATTTGCCAACTGTACTTTCTCATCTGCATCTTCCAGAGCTTTATAATAGTCCTGTTGTGAAGAGATTTTTAGTAAAATAATTGAAACTATTGCATTCCCTATTTTCACTCTATCTCACTCTGAATTATAAGTTAAAAAATCCTATCTACAAGATAACTAGACTCTCCTAATAATTAAATTACATTTTAAGAGCACATACTTGACCTTTTTTATTTTTTTTAGGACAGAAACACACCAAGGCAGCTGTGTAGCTGCCTGTTTTCTATACTGCAACATAGGAACACAGGCTTCAAATCTATTCTGTTGTGCATGTTAGACAAAAAGCTGCAGGGATGAATCAATATTCACCATGGCATGTTTGCCATCTCTCACAGGTTTTTATGAAAGTTGTAATTCTTCCTCAATGCATACTGCTAACTGGTCCCCCAAAACAGTTTTGTGGGGCACTTATACACATACTCCAGAAGTGTGTGTGTGGGGGGGGGCAGCTCCAAAAGCCCAGAGTGTCTCATGTATCAGCATCCCCGTGCTTCAAAACGGAGGCGGGGACACTTTACCTAAAGCTCGTTGAACAAACTGAAATTAAATTGAAATGCAATGAAATTATTAGAAATCAGGTTTAAAACAACAAAAGGAAGATACTTTTCATGCAGGGCATAATTAACTTGTGAAATTCATTGCCACAAGATGTTGTAGAGACTGATAATCTAACCAGCTTTCAAAGTAGATTAGCCAAATTGATGAAGGATAGGGTACATGGGTGAGTATTAAGCATGACCTTAGGTAACTTGTTAGGACTCTCTAGGCCTTGGAATGCTGAAAGCTGCAAAGACTGGGGCAGGGGAAGGGGCAAATCAGTCTGGGTAGGTCCTGCATATATATTTTTCCCATTAGCATCCATTCTCTGCCACAGATATACCAGATACTCTCCTATAAACAAGGGCCTCTACAGAATCCAAGAGAAAATGCTTCTACTAAGGAAGCATCTTTCAAAGACTCAAAAGCAAACATATGGACAGTAGAAACCTGAGACAAGATGATTTGGCAGTTAGAAGTGGTGACTTGCGACCCACTGTATCACTTACCTGACAGGCAGATATCCCATGTATTCCTACAAGTCTTCAAACATTAAGTTTATCGGGGGGAAGAGGACCAACCCCCTTAGAAGTTTCTGGTACCCCTAACTTCCTCTCTTTAGCAGTTCAACTTGCCTCATTCAATGTCTAATCCAAGCCACAGTGCTCAACACTTTTAAAAAACCAAATTTTCCTTGATTTTACTATAAATTATCAAGCTATCTTTTTGAAAGACCTTAGAGTTAACCTTTCAAATATGACTGCCTTACTTTTTTGATTGATGTCATTTGTTCTTCTCTCCATTCAGGTTTGTTTTTCTTTGCATTCATAAAAAATTCATTTACTCTCTGCTCAAGTTGATCCATTGCATCTGCAGCACAGAAAAAAATGTTAAGAAACATGTTAATCTCCCAGGTATATAAATCTTATGAATCTTGAATAAGGTGCCAGGGTTTTTCTTAAACCAAATTGGCATATCTGAGGTGCAAACTATTGTAGTAAAGAAACATGTGACAGAGCAGTGAGGGAGGAAATTGTTTACCTTGATTTCCAAGAAGCAAAAATTGCATTCTGGTATGATTTTCATCTAGAATCTTGCACCTTCCAGCACTGAGCAGGGAGGACTCCAAGTTCTAAAGGGTTTTTTTAAATCCCTAAGAGTAGTAGTAGGTTAAAGTATGATCCAAACTCATGACCCAGGTCTGTGTATTGCTGACCTTTGACCTTTCTAGCTAGTTACAATTTAAACAAAAAACAAGAAAACCAAAAATTGGCCTTAAAAAAAAAGGGAAAGAAACAAACAGAATAAAAAAATCCACGACCTCTAAATAAAGATAGCCTCTGAGCTCAGCAAGGAGCTGGAAGAGTACAAGAGAGGCCTGCCAACAAGGTGAGTAGCTACATATTCTCATCAGGATTTTCATTATGACGAACTCTGCTCGAGAGAGGGTTTAAGAAGAAAAAGTAGAGTCACTAATAAAATAATAAAATGAACTATGTTGTTCATGTTGTTTTTGTTTGGTTATTTTGCTAAAAGCATTTTCAGTTTTAAAAAAACAGAACAAAGTGATACCTTTTGAAAGCATCTGACTAATCAAAATAAGAGAGAGCCCTACAGTCCCCCAAAATTACCAAAAAACACACAAATGTAGGAATGGGAAAAGTTTATTTCCCTAATTTGGAAATAAAATTCCAATAAATTCTGCAAGACCTGAAGACTGAAGGAGGATTTCTTCGCCTCATGCAAACAATAGTGCTTTGTAGAATGGGTGGAATAAGTACAATGTGGCTACCTGGCACATTTCCAAAACCAGCAGCTGTCTCTATCAGAAGTTAGCCTTAACGGACTTCTAGTTCCAGGCTGGAGAGATGACAAAACTCTTCAGTATATATTTGGACAGCTTTAGTAATGTTCAATATATGGTGTCAAATGAAACATTAAGCAGCACTGTATAACACAAGGGTGTTAAAAGATCTGGTCCATGGGTCTGGATCCATGCAGAGATTCAGAGACAGGACTTACCACCAAATTCCAGGCTATGGAGCCTCATTTTGGCAGGGAGGGTGGTCTAATTGTTTCAGCCACCATATCTAAAATATCTGAACATCTTTTAGGATCCAGCATAGGGAGAAAGGCCCAACAGAAATGGGCACAAGCTCAGGGAAAAGTAGAGACAGACCTACCAACTCACCAGTAAGGAAATCTTTGTAAAATGGTGTCATTAGTCTTTAGGATAAACTAACCCTTCTATAATTTGGTGCAAGATTAGAGTTGAAAACTTGTTACCTTTACAAAGTCACTACATTACAATCATTTGGCTTTTTTGAATTTACCAGAAATCACTAAATGAAATGACTCAAGACACACTTTCCTTAACTTTTATCAGAAATATAGAGGTCCTTAAAGAATTTGACCAGATGCTGCAGAAACAGAAGCCTACTGTGATCAAAAACTGAATTAGTTCTTAGACTCAGAACCTAGTGAAGTACTTTATGTGCTGCCCAAGACAAGGATACATGCTACCTGTGGTAAGCAACCCTTAAGCCTTCTGGATCATGGTGTATGCATGAGAGGACCTTCACCAGAACTTTTGATGTGTGTAGGGAGAAGCAGCAGCTGCCCAGACCTTTCATCTCTCCTTTACACCAGTGGTCTCCAAACTTTTTTGATCGCACAGCCCATCAGTAAAAAATTTTTGAGCATGCACCCACAATATATGTATATTTATAAATTATATAGTTTCTAGGGTCGGAAGGGACCTGAGTAGATCATCTAGTCTGACCCCCTGCCATGGCAGGAAAGAGTACTGGGGTCAAACGATCCCAGCAAGGTGTACCTCTAGCCTCCTCTTAAAGACCCCCAGGGTAGGAGAAGCCAGCACCACTTCTCTTGGAAGTTGCTTCCAGATTGTAGCCGCCCTGACAATGAAGTAGCGCCTCCTGATATCTAGCCTAAATCTACCCTCTGCCAGTTTGTAACCATTATTCCTGGTCACTCCTGGCAGTGCTTGGGGGAACAGGGACTCCCCCAGTGCCTCCTGCTGGTCCACCCTGACTAGTTTATAACAGGCCACTAGATCCCCCCTCAGCCTTCTCTTCTGGAGGCTGAACAGGTTCAGGTCCCGTAGCCTCTCCTCATAAGGCCTACCCTGCTGCCCCCTGATCATGCGAGTGGCCCTCCTCTGGACCCTCTCCATGTTGTCCACATCCCTCCAGAAGTGCAGCGCCCAGAACTGGATGCAGTACTCCAGCTGCAGCCTGACCACTGCCGCATAGTACATATACATGTACTAATGTACTAATATATTATGTACAATATATATAGATAAACAATACATATAAATAGAAGTTCTAATATTTTCTTTCCGCACCCCAATGGATTGTCTTGTGCACCCCCCTTTGGAGACCACAGCTTTAGACCACTGAGACAGATTCCAAAGGCCAGACTGAGTCTGGACATTCAGCGCCTTGATGGCTGTAGTTGTATGCACATCTGAGTTGAACCCAGATCTCCTGCATGACAGGCAAGGATTCTACCACTGAACCATAACAGTGGGTTCATGCTACCTGTAAGCACTGCAAAAATAAAATTGCTATTCTTACTTTAAGTCCTTTTGGGAAATGGCCCTCTGTAAATCTTGAAGACAAGTCAGTTGTTCAAATGCTCTACTATGCATGATGTCTTCTTGGGCAAAAAACCACTAGCTTACAATATAAAGGCCTAAAGTCACTAACTCTCCTTTTTCCAGACAATGAGGTATTCACACGACAGTGACATTTTTCAACATTACAAAAAATCATCAGGACCTTTGTCTGTGCTAATACCACTGAAGCCAGATAAGATGTCAAGTGAAAGGTGAATCCCTTTGAAGTCTGTCATGCCTCTAGAAGGTTGTCCTTAAAGCAAAGCCAAGCACCCTTTTTCTTGTGGGTCACTGGAACCCAAGAGAATGCAGGGTGACTTTTCTATCCTTGCTTTCTCAAATCTTCAAAGGACTTACTCTCTAGTGCACAAGCTTTTTCTTGACTATCCATCCACCCTGGATGGAAAGCCAGAAAGACGATAAATACTTCACTTGAAAAATCTCCACTTTAAGGCTCAAAAGTCTGGATACAATTCAGCTGATCTTCAATATGGCCATGGTTACCTCAAATGGAATAGCTGTAACCTGTTTTAGGAGCCCCTAAAAAAATTCAGAAAATTAATATTTGCCTGCCCCAGCTTTCTATCAAAGATTGCAAGAGCCAAGGGCAATAGGACCCAGGGGAAGCCCCAGCAGGCTCCTGCAATAGCAGGGTCTGCCCAGCCCCACCCCACAACCAGAAGCCCCTTTTTCAGGTAAAAAGGGGAAGTGGGGAAAGTGGCAGTGGGGGCAGGGGGAGTGTAAACAGGCAGACAAGCAGGACCCACACCAGCGTCCCAGGGCCAGCACTGGCAGGGCCCAGAACAAGTGGCAGGAACATGGGGTGCAGGATGGCAGGGGTCTATGGAGCCGGGCTGCACTGTGCCAGCAGCGAGAGGGGAGCTGGCCCAGCTCCACAAAGCCCCAGCCAGCTGGGACCCTGTGCTCCTGCTGCCCACCCTGGGCCCTGCCGGTTCTGGCCCTGGGGCACTGGCGCAGGTCCTGCGCTCCTCCCATGTGCCCGCTTGCTCCCAGCTCCACGGCACAGGTGGGAATGACTGCGCTGAGCACCAGCAGCAGCAGCGAGCAAGCTGATGGTTCAGTGAAAGGGGAAAGCGGCCCCTCCCCGTCCTGCCACCAGCATTCCCTGCCCACATGGGGCTATCCTGTCTGTCCACCATTTCCCCACCGCCCATGGAGCAGCGGTGGGAGTGGAGAGTGGGCACGGGCAGCCCTGCGTGGGCTCCAAGCAGCTGCCACAGGGAGCACTGGTGGTGGGAGGTGAAGCGGCCACTTTTGCTGCCCCAGCAGCTGTTTGTGCTCTGCCGCTGCTGCTGCTCAGGCCATTGGGTGAACCTGGAGCCGCTGCAGGGCCCAGGCCGACAACAGCGGTGATGAACAAACTGCAGCTGAGCGCAGAGGAAAAGCACTCCGCTTTCTGCTAGGTAGTGTGCTGGAGCCTGCTCCATGCTAGGCTCTGCTGTGGCTCCTTTGCCGCCAGTCCTGTGCTGCCCAACGTGGCCGTGTGGAGCAGCTGCATTGGGCAGCACAGAGCCAGTGGCAAAGGAGCTGCAGCAGAGCCTAGCACGGTGTGGGCTCCCCCAGCAAACACTACCCAGCAGTGGCGAGGGGGTGGGCATTTTCATTTGCCCTAGCAGCAGTTCATGCCCTGCTACAGCTCAGCCGCCAGGCGAGCCTGGAGACTGCGCAGGGCCCAGGCTGGCAGCGGTGGTGAGGAACAAACTGCAGCTGAGTGTGGGGGGAAAAGCGGCCCCTCCCCCTCCCACCACTGGCACTCCCTGCGACATCTGCTTGGAGGCCACGCGGGGCTGCCTGTACTCGTTTTCCATTGCTACAGTTGCCCCACGGGTGGCAGGGCCACAGAAGAGAGGCAGAACAGCCCCACATGGGCTCTGGGAGGCTGCCACAGGGAGCGCCAGTGGCAGGAGGGGGAATGGCTACTTTTCTCCCATGCTGAGCAGCAACTTGTTCCCCACTGCCACCGATGCTCAGCCAGATGGGCGAGTGTGGGGCATGTGGGGTTGGGGCTGCTCACAGTCATTCCTGCCTGTGCCACAGGGCTGGGAGCGAGCGGGTGTGCAGCAGCTGGATGGGAGCTGTGGCTTCCACTGCCAGTAGTTATGTGTGGGCAGCAGGGCAGTCCCAAGAAGGAGGCAGCTGGCTCCATGTGCTCTGTCCCACTCCCACCACAATGGATGAGCCCCGTAAAGTATGCCCATACACCAGAGCCCGTGCCAGGCTGGGCAGGACCCTCCACCCCTGCGCACAGCTGGGAGCAGGGGGATGCAAGCAGGGAAATGCCAACTTTCCTGCCCACCTGCTGGCCGCTCTGCACCCCGTGTCTCCCATACCCACAATACCATACCCAGACACGTACATCCCAACAAAACCCCATACCCACCCGCACACAGCTCCCCACAAACCCCACACCTCCCCATACCCCGACACCCATGCACACCTGACTCAATATACAAGTATGACTGTATTTTGAGCTTTTATGCAATCACTTCTACATATATAGCACAAATGCACACCAATCAGATCAAAAATAATATATTTTTAATTTAAAATATATTATTATGGGTGCCTGACTT